TTAACATTTTGAGTGTATATACCAAATGAATTAATTTAAATTCCTTTCAACCATCGCAGCTCCTTATCAGCCTAACTTCTTAACCCAGCTCAAGCAGAAGTGTAAAATACAACCAGAGCTGGATGCTTTCATTTCTAAAGTGTCACCTGACTGTCTCCAGTGCCATCCATCCTGTGCCCTTTTCTGCAAACTCTGCTTGGGACAAGGAGCTTGGTTAAGTAAATTACTCACCTTTGTAGAGCAGGATTAGTTTTGTTTTCTTGTTCTGAACAAGTGCAAATTCCAAACAGCCTTGTCTTAATGCAACCACTCAGCCTACATCAGCAATGAGACATCTGTTACCAGGCCACAGCAGCAAGGACAGTAAAGTCGAATGCTGCCCATGAGATCTGATCAACAGCAGCTTGCCCCAACATGGGCAATACTTCATAGTCTTCCAGTCTGTCCCAAGCAAGACCACCAGTGTGGCCCCCCTACTTGCTGAAAGCCAGCTGGCGCCAGGAGCAGCTGCTCCGTATAAAAGCAAAACTGCCAACTGGCACCATCCTGTGTCCAGGAAACAACAGCTTGTCACAAGGATTGGCTGATGCCCCAGATCTTTCTATCTCCATCTAAATAACTGAGTGGTCAAAGGAGCTGCTTCCCCACTGCTGGGGCAATCTGCTTTTTATTAGCATTCCTATACATAAGATCATATTAAAAAAGTAGATGATGGTACACAGCTACTCAAGATTTGTGTTGTTTTTTTCCTATTATTTGATGTAGTAATTACATGACAATCACTTTTTACCATCTGAATGTCTATGGCCTCATGTAACATATGATATGCCCATCAGAACCATGTTAAGTGAGCCCACATAATACCATTCCAGATGCCTGATTCAATTCTGTAATGCCCCCATAACTCCCTGCTCTTTCCACTTTAGTGAAACTTAAGGATTGCAATGACAGTATTTGATTAAAGATGTTCAGCATATCTCCATGACCTGCTTCTCCCTCTACTGTATTCACCCTTCTCAATTATCCCTACCACACTGAACACAGGCCTTCTAGGTGTAGCAAAAGAGGCATGTATCTACATATTCCCAATCAAGCCCCTAACTGATATCCTAGCCTCTGGAAGTTAGGTGTGGTTTTTATCAGGCCAGACTTACGGCAGTTTAAGATCCTTTCTTGGGTGGAATTTATTTTAACCCATGCCAGTCAACAATCTTTAGGAAGATACAATAATGTATCATGCTCCCGGCAATTTGTGTACCCTGTAATTAAACCACACAAGTATCAGATAATATGGTAGTAACAAGCTTAATGCAATTGTCTGAAGACTGGATTTGCCTTTGATCAAGGCACTATGCTACAGGACAGCCACAGGTCTACTTCCTGAATTACATCTAATTTAACTTTCTTCTTACTTTTCTTCTATGGGCTTTTAAGTATTTATCCAAAGGCAATGAAAGAATCTTTTCCAGGAACCCACAGGATTACACTGAAGAGCTTCATTCCACAGCAGCCTGAGAACTTAAACAGGAATCTTGTGGTTCTGCCACTGGATGTCTATTATGTCTCAGCTGCTGATGTTACTCTCTAGTTTTGCAGACATTTTGGTGTTTAAGCTTAACAATATATCTAGTTATTCATTTAATTTTTCTTACCTGCTGAGTTCAGAGATTCTTCATCCTCGTAAAGAACACAGGAAATTGTCATGACCTGACACAGAAAGCTATTTAAGAAATCATGGCAGGCAATGGACCTGATGACCTCAAGAACAAGATGTCATACAAGAAAATAGGTAATTGTCTATAAATCTGTTTAAAAATTAAATCAAACTTCTGGCAATATACCAGCCACCTGTCCATACTCTAAAGAACTGGACAAGATTTTTCACACCAGAAGTCAACACAGACTTGGTGTTGTATGTGGCAAAAGGTTTAAAGCTCAACAAGGCGAAAAAAATGGTCCCACACTGCATACAGTAACACATTATTTCAGCTCTCAGGAGACAAACACTTATGAAGAGGACACAGCACTTGGGAGAGCTTAAGCAGAAGAGATCAAGCATCTCAGAGGTCTCAATTATCAAAGTCAGAACCTGACCCACAGCAGGAAGCCTACACTAGCTACCAAAACATGTAACTCCTATTAGGAGCCCTCCACTTCGAGGCCTTACACAAATGCAGTAATCCGGTCACTCATACCTACCTTTAATTCCAGGAAAAGTCAGATTCCTACCCCCGAGTGCCCATGTCCTGCCAAGAGCACAGCAGACAACAGCAGGTGTGCTGCATATTCATAAATACTCATTAGCACATGACACCTGCAGCTCTCTGGTTCCCATTTCCCTCCTAGTGCTGAGTGACACCATCTGAAATGGATCTCAGCAAGCAGGGTTCCCTACTTCTGCTTTCCAGCTCCCTGAAACACTAGACCAAGGCTTTATTGTAAACTCATAGGGATTTAACTCTATATGTGTGTACAACGGGCCTGTGTCCCCCCACCCTGCTTTCCAAACCTGCTGCACACCATGCTGCCAAACCATACCAGAGCCCACCCAGCTCCCTCATAGACATTAATGCACATTAAAATATTTCTTGATTCCATTACAAATTACATTCACTTTGGTCATGAGGACATCAGTGCAAAAGTCAGGGCATGTATGTTAGGCAATTTAGCCCCCCCACTCTTCACCCCAGCCCTGCCCCTCTGTCCCTTCATTAGCCCTCTAGGCCCTCAGACCCATGATCCTGTGTAGCCTTCCCAGCAAAAAATGCACAGTGCAGCAACAAGACACTACAACAGCCAGCAAATACCAATGCAATCAGTGAGGAAAGGTTTTTCTGTAAGTGCGCAAAGTAGCACAAGAGGAAAGCTGAAAAACTTGCAAATCTTTAGTTAGTAAGATTAAAAAGCACGTCAGAGGATTTTTTTAATATTTTTAATCAGCCTGTAATATAGCATTTCTATCTTTAATCCATGCTCCCATGGAAACCATCTGATCATCAACTGGTTGCTAACTTTTTTATATCAAGAGTTTGATACAACCAAAGGTCCTCAAGGACCTAGCAGTTAATTAGGGGTTATTAACACTAAACAGCAAAGAAAGCACTGGAGAATCTACTAAATCAGTGCTAAAATGTGGCCTAGAGGTAACAGAAGCCCAGAGGAAAAAACTAAGAAGAAAGAAAACTAACAAGTCAGATAAGGGCTCTGATGCTGCAACTTTGTTAAAACTGCATCCAGAATTTAATGAGAACAAATAAAGGTAGAAATTAAATTGTGACAGCATCCAATAATGGTGTGCTCTTTTCCAAATAATTTTATACTCCCTTAGAAGCTTAGAAAGTCCTGTTTCTACATGCTTTGCTGAGTATTTTATGCTTCCCTTTAGCTAAACTTGACAATTCACAAAACAATAGACTATGACAGAAGTCTTTTGAATCTATACACACAAGGAATAGATTACACCTTTCCTAACATCTCCAAAATTGCTCACTTGACATTCCAGAAGTGCAAGTAAAGCCTATTCAAACGTTTTGTCTCCTCTAACAAAGAGGAAAAGTATCCAAAAGTTAAAATTCAAATAAATTCAGCAAGAATTGACAAAAAGAGGAATTTGAAAACGAGGCCAAAAAAACATCCAGAAGGAATGGATTCAGCACAGAATCCAAGTAACAACACTGTTCTGTAAAGAAAACAGAAAATGTTACAAGGAAATCTGAGTAAATATATAGCTAAAATACCCCGTATCTCACATAAAACCCTTTTTTCTCCAAACAGGTAAATAACCATTTTAACAACTGCCAGGGGACTGATGGGAAGGTCCTGGTGGCATCACAGGGCATGCACACTAAAAGACAGGACTTGATTTTTTTTCTCTGGCTCTAAAGAAAAAGGAATGCCATAGGACTGACTCATTGAAGGGAATTTGTCAGCCAAGTACTGCTGACACACAAAAAGTTAAACACTGAGGATGTCCATGACTAGAATCAGTAAACTTTTCCGGAGGCAGACTTTTCACTGTGGTTTTTTGTGATGAGAGATGAGCAAATCTTGGAAGCTGACTGAATAAACAGCATGCAAGCATCACTTGTCTACAAAGTGCACAGAAGTCTCCTCTGCAGAATGCAGCATTAATTCTAAAGCAGGAAATTGGGTGAAACATCAAAATCTTTCACTTACACAAGGTCGTTCACATAAAATAAGTAAAACTGGCAAAGGGATTTCTAGAATACTAGAAATTAATGTTTCAACAACATGAAGGATTGAAGGATTTTTTCTCCCACATCTAGCTAATATTATCCAAGGTAAGGCTATGAAAAGAAGGAATTTCACTGAAGGTAATCACTGTACAGGATGCAGAAATAAAGCAACTACATTAGATAGTTCAAAAACACGGAGTACAAGACATACTCAAAAATGAACCAGTGCACAGGAGTGCTGAACTTCCATGTATGTCTATTAAAACTCAGTATGGTACTCAAGTTTACTCTGAGTAAGAAAGAAAATTACTCAACAATGCACTGTCTCTTCTAGCAATAAATAAATAATCTGAAATCTTAAATGAGAACGAGTCATGGTAAACTAGAAGTACAAATTACTTTTGTTATAGGTGTCCACCTACCACAGAAAACATCCTCTTGGAAAAGTGTGTCAAATGGTAGCAAAGGACAATACAAACATACTGTTCTCTAAAGCAAAACCTCCACTCAGTCAAACAGAAGATATGTTACAGGGCAGCGGAAACTTCCTCAGTGATATCCTTGAAAAAACATTTCCTTAAAACATTTCATAGCTATAACTTGGAAGAACTTTGAGATCTCCTGTTCAAACACAAACACAAATATTCACTTTCATATATAAAGCAGTTATGAGTTTGCAGCTGAAAGAAATATAATGAGACACACACAGTCTCAGTAGTAAAATACTTAATTTACCTTAAAGAAACACCTCTCAAACTTTAAGTTGCTGACTGAATTTCAATAGAAACACACACAACAGTAAAATTCTAATTATCAAATCTTTTATTTATTCAAAAACTTCATTAGGTAAATAGCTATGACTGATTTTATCTCTTTTAATGCAGGTGCACTGATGTCACAATTCCAGAGAAACTTTAAAGGAGAGGAGACAGGGCAAGTCATCTCGTGCAGAACAAGATTTACTCGCATTTACTTGTCCAGAAATGTACACTCTGTACCACAACCTACTGCTTTACAGGAGATTCGCTATTAGATGCAAACATTCGTTCGTAAAAGGCTTAGAAGAAGGATAAAGGTCAAGTCATATCTGACCACCTTTGAAACATCTCAACAATCCAATAATTAAATTTAATACATTTCTCACTTTCATCTTAATCCTACTTAAACTGACCACAGTTACCACTAAAATTAGCAAGCATTTGAACATTTAACATAAAAAATACTAGTGGTTTATGCTCTGCTATAATCCATTTTGATAAATTAATCTTGTATTTTTTACATCAGCTTCTTGTAACAGTCTTCTTAAAGATTTCTTAAGAACCATTAAGTAATGGTTCTTAGCCTTTATGCAAAGGAAAAAAATAAGGCCAAAAATTAATTTAACCAACCTTCTAAACACCAAGATTTGAGTCACACCACTCCACACTGCCCTGTGACCTATTCACAGCTGAAAAATTAATGGAAAAAATAAACCATCAATTACTCATAATTAAAGAAAAAAAAAGTTCCTTTTTTCAGCATGATTTAGATTTAATGTATTTTCAGGTAAGATTGTTTACATGGAATGAATTTTACACTATACATGTTTTTGATGTTGAAGCCTATACAAGCACTGCCCAATCAACACACTTAAATACCTGTACATTATTTACATTTTAAAATATTTTACACAGCTCCAAAACACTGGCAACATTTAGCTATATACATTTTAAACTGAAGTGCAAAATGCTTACAGTTCTTTAACACTGAATTTCAACATAAATCCTCTTATCAGTTCTTCTTTAATTCAGTGGGCGTTAACTTTGTTCCATGCCAGCCATCAGCGACAAAGCTAAAGATTCCACTGTGAAACAAACCATAAAAATGTAGCTAATATGTGCATTTGCAGGACTCTGCAAACATTTATTGCAATATTTATTCTGTCCTTTAAGAGAATACCAGTTTACTTTTTAAATTGTAATACTGTAGGACTTCATGACAGTAACACATTTTGTAAGTCTCTGACAGCTTAGATAATATTTCACCACACTCATCATCAGCTACCCAGTAGTTATTTCATGTGGTAACAACTGGTAAGAAATTAGCTCCTTTGTCTGAAATACTGTTGTACGTAAAAAAGAAGTTGTGGAGGTTTATATACACCAAGCCATTCTCAAGGATGGTTCTGCAGACAAGCACTTGTAGATGTGAGTAGCAGTGATGGCAAATATTGCCTGTTTTGTACACAGGTTTTAGACTGGGAAAGACCTTTAAAATAATCGAGTCCAAACATTAACCTAAAACTGCCCAATCCACCACTAAGTCATGTCCCCATGGCACATCTACAGGTGGTGTAGAAACCTGTGAGATCACTCATCTGCATCCCAGCTAACCCTGATGCCCCACAGCCTCACTGAGCAGTTGCCCCCCTAACTCAAACTGGCACAATTTTAAGCTCATACCAGGTTGTAAGTAGAAGCATAGATATGTCATCCTCTGCTGTTTCTACTGCCAAGGAAATAACAGATGGGCAGAGCCAAGAGCCCAGTGCAGTTGCAGCTGAGGCACCATAACACTAAAATCCTATCTGTTCAAGATATATTACAGCTGTCATTCCCAGTATCAACAAAAAGAATGCTCTTCTATGCCCCCAGAACTTAGTTTCATTAGTTTAGAAAACTGCTTGTCACTTGCTTGGCTACAGACCTTCCCCTCATCAAGTAAACAGATAAACTGAAGACAGCTGTCATGGAAAAGCTTGGCACAAACATTCTAAAAAAGTAATGACTTTAACTTAGTAAGAGGTTAAGTCTTGGTGTCCCTCTATGCATAATTCACAAACTAAGATTATTTTAAATGTGCCAACAAACATTAGAACAGATTAAAACATAAACACATTCCTAGCAAACTTGTGTAAGCAGGTATGTGAAAAGCCTCATGTACTTACAATGGGGAAAAGAGCCTCGACAGACAGCTTTGTTGAGAACAGTTACAAGAAACATGTGACAGTTTTTAAAATCCGATTCCATCTTCTCTATGGATTCCATCCTACAAAACAGTTTAACAGAGGAATGCTTAGCAGACCAGCCCCTATGTTATCTTCAAAATATGACCAAAATTTCACAGAAAATGAAAAAATATTCTTTACATAGAATTCTGGCTTGAACTTACAATACTTCAGTTATACCTGCAAATGCTACTTCTACAAAACAAAGACAATTTTGACAAGAGAATCTGAGCACCAAAGGGGCATTAGTAATTTTGTCATCATTTTAGAAATCTCTGCAGTGACCTGAAGGAGCAGTGTGATTCTGACACTTATCATTCCTACATAGGTTTGTAAGCAAGAGAGCCTTTCCTGGTCCTTACTGCTTTGGGGGTCCTTGGGGACCTACACAGCCAGTAAAACAGGGACATCCACACTGCTTTACTATCTGGCAATCACTTGAATTCCACTTTGGACTCTGTCAGCCAGCACTCACCAGTCAAGGGTGAAGATACAGTTCACAACAGTTACTCCTTTCCTTTTTCCCCCTCTCCCAAGAAGATATAGAGATGACAGCAGCTATGATTTTTTCCTGCCCCATGCAAGAGCATGCAACCACATGGCCTGAATTTCAGTCTTTATCAACAGCACTCACAAATTATTTCTGACACTCTGAATGAGAAAAACACTCCAAAAACAGCAACTTCCTAATGTCACAGGAGAGTGAGATCTAAGTTTTAGGTAGCATCTGTGCCAAAGAAAATTAGCCCTGAAAAATATGAAGTAAGCCAGTCCACACCAGCTGGCTTCAGGATTTCTGAGTGTTTGACAAAGCCTTGGAGATGTGCCGAGTATCATTCATCCTTCAAGCAGCAGGCTGCACAAACAGAAGTATAAATGGGGAAAGAACTGGCTGCAAAAAGGGATCTGAGGGTGCTGGTCAACAAGATCTCAACAGGAGTGAGCAGGGAGGACACCCAGGAGGGCAAAACCCACCCTGGGGTGCATCAAACACAGCACAGCCATATGGACAAAGGAGGTGACTGTCCCACTGTATTCAGCATTGGTGCAACGTCACCTGGAGGTGCAGTTCTGGGCACAAAATCATACTCAGAGCTGCAAAATTATGACCATGTAGAATTTTAGGTATGTGTACTTACTTCCAAGCCCCTAAACCAGCTTGCCAACGGTCTGCAAACATCAATACTAAATTTAACACTTTCATTATAGCTTCCTTCACAAAGCTCACCTAAAATAATTAAACCACAAGGAGAAATTAATTGTTAAACATAATAATTTTCATTATTACACTGCAATACAAAGGTTTCACATGCCACTTAATCTGACCTGTATAAACAATCTCCTAAGGACAATGTGATTCTTCCAAAGTGAAGATGTTTGTATTTGTTCTCTAATTCATTTCCTAGCTGACTTCTTGGATGTGGACTTTGCACAGACAGTATGTGGGATAAAAGGTTACAAAGCTATCCAGGTACCTCCGTTCCTGCCATACCACTATGTATAATTCTCCTAACATTAACAAGCCTCAGTTATAAATAAATATCAATATACCAAATATAAAGAATTCAATTTTATCCTCTTTTCTTGATAGAATTGAGCTGAGAACAGCAAGGGAAACTGGATCTCAGTGTGAAAAGCTACCACTTCCTCAAGAGTACCTATATATTGCTTAGTATATTACCAAACAGACTGCATAATTAGTACACAACTGCTTTCTTGTCCTGATAAGTTAATACATCAAATATACTAATTTTTTACCCACCTTTTCTCTCAATAAGCAGCGATCATGAATCGTAGATAGATATCGGTAATGAATCTTTATCAATTGATCTAAATCTTTGGCTTCTTCTACCTGATGCTGAAATTCCAATCCTGTACTGTGGAGAATCTTAAAAAAAAAAGACCAAAGTTATTAAATTCAATGCTGTACACAAGTGATTATGACTCTCTTCCAATATATTTTTAAAGAGCCTGAAATTGCATGTTTCGTTTGCTCTTCCCTCTTAAATTTTATTATTAGCTTCCAAATTACCACTAATAGCAAAAATTTCAAGCTCTTCTCATAACTACACAGACACATTCCTCACAGAAACAGATATACTGCCACTTCACAAGGACACAACGACTATCCTTAGAGGCTGAACTGAAGCATATACTAGTTTTATTAAAAGGAAAAAAAGGCAGATAGAGGAGATATGTGTCTACAGGCACTGCCTTTGTATTTGAAAAGACATGCATACACTGTGTACTAGAGATTTTTGAGAAGAATCCAACTAAAACTTAAACTAAAATATCTGTTGTAGTATTTTTAGAAGCATAATAGCTCTTAATTTACAGCTTACAGAAACCTCATCTTACATTACTGTGCTTAAATCATCTACAACTTGGAGAAACAGATAAAAGAATCAGTAACACCCAAAGATCAATCATATGCATGTAAAACTTCTAAAGCATTTTTAGAATTACTGATTTAAAATGGCCAAGTTGCAACTGAAACATGTACAGAAAGGAAATTATATTTACTTTTTGCTTTTTACCCGAGAGGGTTTTTTAGGTTTTAAAGGAAAATGAATACTTCACCTCCAGTTACATTAATATAAATGAAATTGTGATATAAGACAAACCCTAGTCATGATGTAGTTGTGCAGGCTGTTGACAAAATGCATAAGTTTCACTCTTAAGAGGAACATGCGATGTATTTGTTGTTTTATGCTTTCTTTTTGTGGTCCAAATACAGGAAGTGTTCCTTGTTCTAATGAAGTTCCTTCCTTAACCTCTGAGTTTTCTGCAGCAGAGACTAATTCTTAAAAAAAAGAAAAAAAGCAAGAGTGTGGCGCTTTTTGGGAAAAGACTTAAACAAAAAGTCATACTCATAAAGTTTAAACAGTAAAAAGACACAGACTATTAGGAAGATAATTACTTAGCTGATGTTCAAAATACAGATGAACCCACCAATTTCCTAATTTATTTTTCTAAGACATGAAGTCTATATCCACTTTACATGGGACAGGAAGAGTATAAACATTAAAAAATACCTTTCCATAATCCCCCAACAGTTTACTGTTTTTCAATCTCAAATAGAGTATTTTTTTCATCTTGTTTTCTTAACTTGTCTGCAAGGTATTACTCAAAAATTAGGGTGTGGTAGACAAACTTTCTTTCAACTGCAAAGTAGAATGAAGTAGCAAGTTTCCAATATAACTAACTAGACTTGAATCAAAGAGACAAAGGGAATACATGAATGGTGCTGTCCCTGGAGCTGAAAAGGAGTGAAAGACACACCCATCTTAATACACATAATTTGCGACACTGAGATTATTATTTTATTAATTAATCAAAATTCTAAGTAATTTATACTACTTATTGCAGAAAGCAGATAACTAATCATATTCTTAGACCACAAAACAGAGTATCTTTCATTGAAGAAGTATCTTACCATCAAATCGTAGAACATCTAGACTATACTTGGCCCACTTTATTTGCAGTAAGAGCAGAAAAACTTGATTGTAAATTTTTTGGCATTCTAAGCTTATAACTATATCCACAGGCCAAGGAACCTAGCAGGAGGAGAGAATAATAAAGATAGAAAACATAAGTCACTTTCATACAACATTTCAAATGTGCTCTAGAGTAAGAACTGCAGCCATTTTAACTCACTACCTTGTAACTCAATGTCAAACCATCTAAGGTGTGGACAGGGAGTTTCTTCTTTGCTGTATCACCACTTTCAAACGATATTGATAACCTATGCAAGGAAACAAGTGATATAATTGGTGAGAATATGTTTTAAATGAGTAGTTAGTTTCACTAATTTCTATTTCTCACTGCTAACCATTAACTGTCTGATTTAATCAGGAGGACTTGGGTAGGAAAGAGGACAACAGCTCAAAACTTCATTAAAACACATAATTTTAATGAGTACACAATAATTAATATTGTGCTATGCAAGTTAAGTACACTAATACAGTTAAGTGTGAAAGAAAGGTAACTAAAGCATGTTTTGCACTTTACCTTGCACTGTCTTCTGGATAGCGTTGACCAACTGCTTCTTGTAGGTGAACATTCAAGAAAGCAACATTCTGCCAAGTTTCCTTTTCTCTAATTTTGTCAAAAATAGATGTATAGAAGTCATACATAGTATCTCCAGCTTCAAGTAAGAAAAAATTTCTCATTGCCTGCAAATATTCCACAAGCCTGAACAGAAGAAACATATAACACTTCCTGAGTCTCATCATATAAATGAATACGAAACACAACTGTTACAGAAACAGAAATCTTAAAAACTCCTCACAGCAAAAACTCAGTATTGATACAAACATAACAAAGTCTACAGTGAATCCTTTGTTTAACCAAGGCATTTTTCCCTGAAAGCTTTAACAGCTCCACTAACTTCACTGGAAGCTATCTTAAAGGCTAGGTAATTCTCAGAAATAGAAGAGTTTGGAAATGCTGTCCCTCCCCGTAAAATGGATTTTAAATGACAACACTACTAAGAAATACTGTTGGAAATAATATCCCCACCAAATATCCACTGATGACAAATGACAGCTTTGCTTTGATTCAAGCTAGACCAAGTTTTCACCCAAGAGCCTATCATGTCAGATATGGTACCTTCTCTCCTTAATGACATTATAGCCGTTTATCAAACTTAAGTAGAAACACAACATGGAATTGCTTCTTTTAGTAATGACATGCCACTGCTTAAAAAAAAAAAAAAATAACAAAAAAGTTAAGGAAAAAGAAATCTACTTTCTTACCTATAATCCTTCTTTAAAGTTTGCATCAAATTCCCACAGCATTCCAAGTACTGCTTGTCTATGTGAGGATAAAGACAAGACCTCAGTGTCAGTTCGAAAGTCTGGCAGGTCACAGATTCTGAGGATCTATCCACACAGACATCCCCACCAGTAAACTTCTCATGAAAGTCACTCTGTTCCAAATACAATCTTCAAAATAAAACAAGATACTTAGGGAAGAAGGCTCATTATTCATACAAGGTATAAAACAATGTCACACCTTCAAGGATTTTAATCAATTGGGTCCTCTGCTCTGAAATATATGGCGCAGGGATAATAAAAAATTATTAGAAGCAGAGCATGTATCCAGCCTATAAAGTGATCCATCATACTGTTTGTGTATCACCAGACATGAGAGTACCACAGAGGACAGCATTCTACAATCACATAACTGCTTAAGGCATACTCCTGAAAAACATCTTATCTATAATATATGATGGGAAGAAAAGTGTCTGTGTTACACATTTGGTAAGTTTGATTGTTTTTACAAAGAAAGCATCAAATTATTGTAATACTTTGTAAAAAGCTAGTTGCCAGTTGTAACCACTCTAAGGGGAAGCCAACTCGTAGTAGCTATTGCCTGAATAGATTGAATGAGCTAGATGTTGAATTAATGTATCAATTTTGACAACTAGAATAGTTCCAATAAACAAGAGAAATCAAGTCCTATCTATGATTTCTTTAAAACAAGTTCCTCCTTTTTTTAATGTCAGTTTTAAAACATGCAAATACACCATTAGTATTTAGTAAAAATATACACGGCTCTTTTCTTATTTGTAATCACATAATAAGATTTTCAGAGTTTATCCTTCCTGCTAATTTCCAACACATTTATACTCTCTACAGGACTTCCCTCACTATGAAGACTTAAGAATTTTTATGCAAGTAACATGAATTTTGGAAGGCTTTTACAGTTAAATGATTTAACTGCGGCAAAACTGGAGCGGCAGCAAAACTGAAGCTGCATTCTTCTAAGAATATACATGATGCAAATCAAGGACATTGTGTACAAAAACCAAGGAAACTCATTGAAAAGTTCAGATTTTACAATGGCATTCACTATTAAACTACTTATTTGCCAAAAGCCTGTTATGATAAAGACTACTCCAATTTTCTATGCTAGCAACTGCAAGTAGAACATTCTTCACTGATTTTGTTTTTCTTTAACCATGCACAAGCGGAGTTTCTATTTAGCTTCTGTCACTGATTGTTGGTGCTCGTCTTTATTCTGAACTTGCTTGTTTTCAGTAGCAGCAGCAATGAAAATGTTTCCACCAAACGTTACCAGGCTGAATACTGCTTTCAACAACACAGCAGGAAGATCATTCATTTACCTGGCAAAATTAATAGCCAGCAGTGGGTCATGGACATCATCCAGTTCCAAGTGTCTTTCTGCTATGGACTGCATCTTTATCAGGCTCTGCTTTGTGGCCTGCTGTTCTGTAATAATGTCTGGAACAGACTCCTCCCCATGCCGCAAGCGAGACTGTACTGATTCCAAGAACAGTGTGTATAAACTCTTCCGTTCAGCATCTGAATTGGGCAACACATTGGACAAAACATCATCTTAACTAAAAGAACTCCACAAACATTCACAAGCTAACTTTTAAAATGCTACATTTAGACCACTATTCAGAAAACCAAATACTCTCAAATACATATTTAAAAATACAGGACTAGCCCAATGCCTAACATCAGGCATATGGTCAAGTGCACTGCAGAATGAGTATCTGAAATATTTTTAAGATTGTTAAAGAACTTCCTACTTCAGGTGCAAAAACAATTAATTTTTAGCACCTGACAATCTTTCAGTACGTACAGAAGTAAGTCTCCAAAATAATTTAATTATCTCTACTTTTAAACATGAAGAAGCAGCAAAACAAAAAAAAATATATTGTTTCCTTAAAATTAAAAAACAAACCCAACATTAATTGTAATGTTGTATTATGTTTTACAATCACTCAAGATGAACATCCTAGATGTCCAAACATCTTTGATCTACTTATGAGTAAGCTTTAAAAAAAAAATTCCGCACGCTACTCAACCACTGAGTAATGGAAAACACTTATTTATTAAAAACCACCAATATTACTATTACAACATACAAGCTGATTTTGTATCATAACAAAAAAAAATGTTTTGTAAGCACATGAAAAGAAGTTTGAGAAAAATTTGAAGCAATTAAAAGAACATGGAACTCTCAACTTTATTCACTTTGCTCTTTTCAATTTTTTGCATTGGAAGAGTGGTTTTCATCAGACCGGAAGTTACCAACCACAACACTGGCATTCAACAGAGTGTTGTATTATTCTAAAGCCAGGGGAAGCCCATTACCAAAAATACACCCATACTGTCAGACAGCCTAAGGCACGATGGTGTACAAGCTGACATCTCACCTCTTGATGCAGCCTGCTGATGGGAACCATCTTTGCACTGAAGGTTCTTCAACAGCTGCATGGATTTTCCAGCCATGATAATTTGCTTTAGCACAGGTTTCAGAAAAGAAACCATTGTGTGCTGTCTGCTTGAAGGGGCCTGATCACTGCCAGAACTGGCACTGGCATTATCACTCATCTTCTCTTCATTCTCTGTCTTTTCTGACACACTATATAATGTGTAGGTAGCATACCAAAAATCTCTGTGATTAACTGGAACGTTTTTGTTTCTGTGAAGAAATAAAAAATTTATTATTTTCCTTTCCAAAAGGAAACTTCATTTCTAGAGGATATGTATCCTCTTTGTTCTGTGCTTTGCCTTTCTCTTAGAACAGTCATGAAGCATTTTGTAAAACTGTCTAAAATTAGCTCATCCTTATTTGCAAACTATCTAGGAAAAGGATAAACAACTAGCTCATGGGAGATAAAACAACTGTACAACCAAATAAACCTCAACAGCAAGTCAAATAGAGCAATTATAATTAAATTTGTCTAGGATGTTAACTATTCAAAGTGGCATGCATCCTTAGTGTCAAAATGATGAGCAACTGCTGACTTATTTAAAACCTCAAACTGAAGCAACTACTACTAGGAAAGCTGAAAAATTCTAGAGTAGGTGAAACTCAATTTGTAGTTCACTTTGTATTCTTTTGTTGTTTATATCAGATACTCAGTTTGGTCTTTGAAGTCAGATGGAAAAACCTAGATTAGATAATTAAAATTAGGTAATTAAAATGAAGCATAAATATAAGTTGAGATCAGCACTGTTGGTAGCACTCAAACACAATTATAGAACCACAAAAAGAGGACATAATAGGGACACTAAGGATCACTGCTACTAAGGAATTATTAGTACTGCTAAAGCTGTTGTCTTCATGCTCACCTCAGTATGTGTTAAGAGACACAGGTTCAATTAAGTTTAGCAGATAGGGGAAAATGGATTTGCAATTACAAGACAGAACTTTAATTTCTATATTCACTTTCCACTCCAAGCTGCCAAAAAAGGGACCAACAAAATGTAGCATAGCAACAGAACAAGAATTAACAGCTCAACTAATGTTTAGGGTATGCGCATGTAAGTCAAGACACCATATTAACTTTACCACAAGTCCAAAGCAATGAGCATTTAAATTCCAAATAGCACTTGATTCATAACAACTTAAGATCAATAGAAGAATTTTAAAGTAAATTTTGTAATTTTTGCAAATGTCTTGGGTTTGAAAAATGGTTAACTGCTTTTAAAAAAAGGCAGTACACTTGACCTGCTCATTACTTACTATAAATGGAAAACCCCCCAAAATAATTGATTTCTACTCTACAGCAATATGTGGTAGAGATCCATACCTATGTAATTTCCCTGATAGGAATTTGAGACAAGTTATGATTACGAAATTATTTCTTAAGCAAAATAACAAATGTGAAAACCTACTTTTACTGTTACTGTTTACCCTAGGTTCTACAACAGGTTTACCTGCACAGCATTATATGAGTCTTATATCAAGCATCCCTACCTCTGAATAATAAATTCCTTTGCAGGATCAAACAAATTACCATGGACTATCCACTCATCCACTGTCTGTAAGTATGGCCTCACAGTTTCAACCCAGAGAGAGAACAAAAGTGATACCTGAATTTAAAGGAAAAAAGAAAATAACTGGTTGAAGTGTTTAGATCAAGCATTGAAAGCAATATGGTGAAGTCTAATCTCTTAATTGTGCAATCAGTTTGTAACATATACATAACTACACTTAAGGATTTTAAAGATAAAATGTCAAAATAAAAAGTGCAGCCTTTTTTTTTTTTTTTTAATGGAAGCCTGTATTGTTCATGATTCCCCTTGTTACTCTTGTCATGACAAATCCAAACACCATTTTTTTACTCTAACATCTCTGAAACAGTAAGGGATAGTCATAAAACACTCTGTGGTTTCATAACATCAAAATCAGGAAAACGAAAGGCTATAATGACATCAACTATATTTTCAATTTTTACAGTAACTTATAATCAAGTTACTGTAAAAATCCAAACCCCCATATTTCAGCATTAACTGAATTTTGCAGTTGTACAAACAGGAGGGAAAGCTATTCCAAAGTTCCCTCTTTCAAAACAGCTTCCTGGCCTCTGATTTTCTAGAAGTCCTTCCCCTGGGTTCTCAAGAAACACTGCTCTTGATCTTCTCATAAATCCATTCTCATCCAGGCTGAATGAACTCATGTCAAAAAACAATGCATTAGTTACTAAATCTAGTAACTAATTTAGTTAGTTCTAGTGTGTTGTTCTATTAAGGAAGGATTATTTCCCCTACCGTTTGCTCAGATGCCTCTCCAACACTGTCATATTCAAGAATAGCTTTGTACAGGGTATTAAGCAGATGAGATGCTCGTACAACATTTCTTGTGTCAGGTGGCACTTCTGCTATTCCTGTGCTGAACACCTTGTGAAGTACCTTCAGCTGTGCCAGTCTGGGAGACAACTTATCTATTACTATTGAAAGTGTGACTGTCTTATCTGAAAATAAAAAAAAACCCCAAGATGCATAAAATAACAGAACAGAAATGCAATTTTGTCAGTGTTAATTATTTGTGTGTCCCCCTCATGTAAAAATTCCCTTGCACTGTACCTTTGTTGATTATGCATTTTTCAATTTCAGTAAGTTCTTCTTTAAAGCTAATGAAATATTTATACAAAGCCCACATAAAAGCTTGGTAGGTTCTGAATGGGGCTTCAGTAGTCTTCTTTGGAGTGGAAACTGTTCCATGCATTATGCTTTCTGGGCTGTGTCCCATCACTTCATCAATAAACTTCTGTAGTCTAAATACAACTTGACCATATGCTGCTATCTGCTCTAATACAGATCTCAGGCAATTCTAAAAAAAAAAAAAAACAAAAAAAAACCAACCCTTTAGAATCATCTAACAAAAACTGTAGTTCATAAAGGCTAAAAATTGAATTACAATATTATTTTTATGAATTAAAATATTATAAAATTCTGCAATTGCTATTGCTTCATCACATTCTCAGATACCAGAACAGCCCATTCAGTTTTATTAAGCCAGATGCTCTTATTTAAATAAAACACAATTGTAGAAATATGCAGAAAATTTGTAGAAATTTCCATAAGAAGTAATTTAATTTCCTATTCCCACAAATTACATCTTTCTAATGACATATTCCTCTGAGATTCAGAAACAACTTACATGGGTTAAATGAGTTACAATAATATCATTCCGCACAGTCACTTTTCCATCATTCAGCTGAAATATAAAAAGCTTTTTCACTCCTGAAAGTAGCCTTGAAAAGAAACAAAAAGAGTAGTAATTTTCTCCCTTTATGGACTTATATGTAATTAATAAAAGAACTAGCTCTCCCTTGCCTAAAAGTTTATTTTCTTTGAGTAACAGGAGACCACAGATCAAGTACAATGCTATTGGTACTGTAAGCTGTTGCTAGAACAAAAACTATTGAACATTGGCATTAAGTAAATATTTCCTAAAGTTTCTTTCCAGTTGAGATGATTTCCAGCTATAGGATGACTCAGCCTGCTTTCTAAAACTGGATACTGTTTTATAAATCTATAGGGACAAGATAAGAACAAATTAGTTCTTTTTAACAAGTAGACTTGAATAATCAATGCCAAAAAAAAGTAGTAAGCTACCTTCTTCTTCATGAATCACAGAATGGAAGGGACCTTAAAGATTAGCTAGTTCCAGCCTTCAGGCCATGAAGTGACCCCCTTTCACCAGACCAGGTTGCTCAGAGTTGCACCCAACCTGCCAGGGATGGGGCATCCACAACTTCACTGGACAGCCTGTTCCAGTGCCTCAAATGCGAATGGTTAACACACACGCAGCATCTTTACTGTCAGAAACAGTGTAAATTAAAAGCTCAGGAATGACTCCTTCTTTGGACATCTTCAAAGACAGCCCTCTCATTTCCTTGAGAGTAACACTAGAAGTTAAAATGCAAGCTTTGTGATGCTGCACTTACCAAAGAGTTTCTCGTATAACCTGGGTTTCTGTGACCAGCGTCCTCTCTTCTGGCACATACAAAGGATCACTGGTGTACAAATGGTGGTCCCTTAGAAAAAAAAGGAAATTAAAACAATTTAATGGCTGAAATAATAGCTGAATCAGCTGAAAGTAAGAATGAAGCAATAATCTTTAGGCTTAGTTTTGTTCTGCTCACATCTGAGCAGATTCAATGTGCATGGGGACATTTTAAGTATATAAAAAAAGCACAATTTGTTCTCATATTGCTAAGCAAGATACCATGGAAAACACCCAAATATTATCTCATCTTACACAGACAAGAAATTAAGTAGCAAATGCCTGAAGTATTGCATTTCCAATATTTTAGGGGTGGGAGGGGGAGGGAGGTTGTAAGTTTGGGGTTTTTTTTTTAATTATTCAGTTATTTCTTTTCAGTTATTTCTCATTCAGTGCTGTGAAAACTTATCATTACTTTCTATAAAAAATACTAAGCTAAAAAGTAAAATACCAAATTCTCTATCTCATATAAGAAAATGTTCTCTTTAACTCACAAGTTTTCTTAAGAAGTGGAAACTTTCATAGCCATGTAAGAATTTTCTCTTATGATCCTGTCTTATGCAATTCTTTGTAAACCTTTCTCAGTACCTTTTCATATTTCAGCAAGGTATAGAATGATTATTTACATTTTTAGTATTTTTACTCATCAGTATCATCCGTGGCAAAAGTTATGCAGTTATACTCAAAGTCAAAAAGTTCAAATTAAGTAATACTAGTTATATATCATACATATATGTAAAACATACATCTCCTAACAACACTGAAGCAGCAGCAGAGTTGCTTTATTCATGCTATCCATCTTCTAATATTCATAGCAAATTGTGGTTCATAACTGGCTAGACAACCACCTTATACTAAAATAACTCCTTCATTAAAAAATTCATTAAATTCAGAAAACCAAGGGCAAATCTAATGAACTTCATTACTGATACATCAAAATTTGGGACAGGAAAGAATTAGACTCCCTTTTCTTTTTAATTCTCACTTTCTTTCCAAGGCCATGGCAGATTATGGCAATATACCATTTTAAGCTCCTCCCCTACACAAGGGAGGCATGAAAAACGTTTAAAAAATTTAAACATTAGGAGACTCCTCACTTCCAGGACCACTTACTTTCATAAGGGTCAAGCCAAACAAAATCCAACAGTAAGATTCACATCTTTGAAAAATGAAACCCCCCTCTCTGACATGAGAAACTTAATAAAAACTAAATAAAAGGATAAGAATCTATTAATAGAGAAAGAAGTTAATTTGTTCATCTTATTAGTTTGTACCCCTTTAATTCTGTTCTTAAGTGAATTGTAATAGCTACAGTATCTTTATGCTTCCAACAGTAAAGAGGTTTAAAAAAGTCAATATTTAGCATTGTATGCCAGGAAGGAATATGTAAGTGATATTGTTTTCTTACCAGACTGCAGCCAGGTTGGAATGCAAGTGCAAACTATGTGAAAAGCGAGGAGCCCTTCCTGTCCAGTACTGAGGAACTACGTGCTGCTCCAGCCAGCTGCGGGCATCAGGCTCAGCAACTGTGAAAACATGTGACAGGCAGCAAGGTGTTTTTATTTATGCAGGAAATGCTTACAAAACACAGGAAGAAGTTATTAATAAGCCTATTCACTCAGCTGCAGAATCACAGATCTTTTCAAATGAATTACCATTTACAACCATTTACACTTTACTGCACTGGGAATTTAATACCACTGTGCACAAATTTACACAGAAATGCCACATTTCCCAAATGATGCAAAAGTTCTAAAAAATAGGCTCAGCACTGGTGAGGCCTCACCTGGGTACTGTGAGCTAGGTTTTGGGTGCCACAATGTAGGAAAGAGCCATAAGAGTATCCAAAAGAAGGCTACAAACACAGTGACAGCCCAAGAGGGGAAGCCGTATGAGGAGCAGCTGTGGTCAGTTGGTCTGTTCAGCCTGGAGAAGAGGGGACACCTCACCATTGTCCACAGCTTCCTCATGAAGGGAAGTGCAGGAACAGACACTGATCTCTTCTCTCTGCTGACCAGTGACAGGGCCTGAAGCGATGGCCTGAAGCTGTTTCAGGGGATGTTTAGGTTGGATATTAGGAAAAGGTTCTTCACCTAAAGGGTGGGTACTGGGCACTCAACAGGCTCCCCAGGGAAGTGGTGATAAGCACCAGCCTGACAGAGTTCAAGAAATGTTTGGACAGCACTCTAAACCACATGGTGTGACTCTTGGGGATGATCCTATGCAGGACCAGGAGTGGGACTTGGATGATCCTTGAGGGTCCCTTCCAGCTCAGGATATATGATTCTATAAGCTTGAAGATTTACATGGTTTCCAATTCTTTATCAAAAAGTGTGCTTCTCTCTCAGGTAATCCTCAAATGCTATATACAAAAACAGGCTGACTTAAAAAATAAACTGCCAAATGTCATCAACTTTATCACTAAATTCCTGTTTATTCGACATTTAGTACTTTTTCTCAAATGTGATTTTCAACAGACCTTTACCTAATCCTAGTTAGATAGCTACTGCTTATACAATATATATATACTACGCAGCTGTCATGTTCCAGGTAAATTGTACCCCACAATATTTTATAAAAAAGAATACAGCTACATTTAATACTCCCTGAAGCTATTCAAAAGAAAGCTACTAGTGCTATAACTAAATAAATCTTTCTTTTTTTCAGAAACATTTCATATCTGCAAATGAGCCAACTATTTCTGTCAGAAAATAAATTTTGTTTTGGTATTCTGATACTTAATATTTAAAAATTACATTATATTCATACAACTAGATGCTGCACTAACTCTAAGTTTTCATTTCTATATTGGAATATTCACATAAACTTCAACAGGAATGAACAGAATTCTTCTCCATTAGCACTAACAGAAACCAGATAAAGCTTTCCATATTGTTTCTTTACTATAAAAAAACTCCATCAGTAATGAACAGTAACATGCACTTAATATTACAATTACAGATCTGTAACACAATACCTCACTAAAGAATAATAGAAAAGCTGCATTACCTTGCTAAATTTTAGTACATATATCAGAAGAATTACAGCTTATTCTAACCTTTCCAGGCAGCATTAGGTACTGTCTTCTTATTTGGATCTTGGTCTTCTAAAGGTGTCCTGTCTACCTGAATACCTGAGTCCTCTCTACTCAAGGGCTGAGTGTCCTCTTCCTCTTCACTTTCTCCAGACCAATCCTATGAAGTGCAACAAACCCCAGGACATTTCAGTACAACACAGCAGACACATTTAAATTCAGCTCCTATTCAAGCCAAACATTAACTATTCTTTTTTTACATTATAAAGTAAATTCAGGACTAGGACTAACATAACTGTCTAACAGAGAATGATTTTAGTTATACACAACATTAATAACCAGCAAATGAGAGATCTAGAAAAGATCACAGAACTGCAGCAAGCTCTGATTAGGTGAAAGCAAGGGTCAGCAGAAGCAGATAGTTTAACTGCAGGACTAAGTCAAAACATTGTGAAAAACAGAAGTATTTGTATTACTGGGATTCTGCTTGGGTCTGTTTTATTTCATGGTATTGAGCAGAGTACTGGGGAATCCTGCAAGAATCAACATGCAGAGCATACAAACTAGGAGAACTCAATCAGGTCTCTAACACACTTCAAACCAGTTTATACAGTTGGGGTTTTTACCTTAAGAAATTACTTACTGGTGTATCTACACCTGGGCCAAAGTAAATTTCTTCTCCTTCCATCAAATACTTTCCCCAATCAAATTCTTCTTCCTTTTCTAAGAGAAATATAAATATAAAAATAGTAAGTACCACATAACTCTGACTTTCTTTTCCTCTAGAAACACTTCCAAAGTTAAAAATATCTTGATACTCTATAGCTAAAACAAAAGACATTCCCTTCCACTTAAGGTTACACCACTGTTCCAGAAACAAAGTTATGCACTTTCAACATGACATAAACTGTGATGTCTCAACCATGTATATCCCTTATTAATTCTCAACTTTATTGCTTATACACTCAAGATATGAAACACAGAGTGCCATCAGCACATTTAACTATATTATGTTACACTACCCTACACTTCAATCCTGGAAAAGCATGCAAGAATGCAACACGCCACTTATTGTGACTAGGAAGTCCCATTTAGCTCAATGGAAACATTCTAAATGCACAATTTAAATATGCACAAGGATCCCAGACTGTAAATGACATAAACCAAGAAATGTCTTACTCTCCAAAAAGACACCACATACCCATGATGTGATGTGAGATACTTTCAAAGTAACAATCACACTTATGACATATGATATCTTAAACATGAAGCTTACTCAACTGTAATTAGTGTTGTTTGAGATAACTTCTTCATATTCACATTCCTGGAATGGGCTGAAAGTGCATTCAAAACACCGCCGAGGGAATGTGCAGAGATCATTCAAAAAGGAATCTTAAGATGCAAGATTTTCTTTAGGTTAGTCTGAAATATTCTCCAGTCTATCATACAACACCGTAAACAAATGGGGGATGGTATCCACTCAAACTTAAGCACAAGCCTCATTTTCAGGCACTGAGTGAAAAAGTCCTACTTTAGAAAGCAGGCAGCTGGGATCTCCCTCTGGAAACCTTCAAATGTATCTCCCTTTCCTTGATTATGTAGGAAACGTAGGAATTTACATAACCAAAACTTTTTCAAGAGAAGTAATATTGAAGTGCAAGACAGAGACTCAAGATAGAAATCCAATGTCTGTCTTTGAGCATGTTAAGCACTGCTGAACAGGTGGAGAATGTTTGTTTGTGATAGTGGTACAAGTCAAAGAGAGTTCCCAAGGTACTTCAGTGGCTGGAAAACTTAATTAAGTGATGCAACATAAACAGGGGTAGGAAAGACTTGCAAGCTATTTTAAATGTATAAATTATAAAGACAACCAATAAAGCAATATGAAATGAAGGACATAATAAAATGGAAAGGAAAAACGTCCATCTTATCAGATTGCAGTGCAGATTGCATCTTTCATTAGCCATATAAACATCTTGCAAACTTACCCACTTCTTTGACTCTTGGTTTTTCCACATAGGTGGTGTTGGATGGCGAATCAGACAAACACAACAGAAGAGACAGTATGGAATAGTGTGTATCTGTCTTTAAAACACATTAGGAAAAAAAGTAAGTCTGTAGGTGGTCTAAAAGATTTTGCTTAGTAACTAAGTCAGCCTATTATCTGCAGGAATGTTCCCCATTAGTTCCCATTCCTCAGTCCTGAATTACAAGTATAACATCTGCAACATGTCATTGAAGGTTATCCATTTTCTTCTGCCTATTAATTAACCAATCACTATACTAATCCTTCAAAAGGATAGCATAGGATAGCCACAGCACATGCTGCCTCTTACTGAGCCAGTAATCAGAGAATATGGAAAAGATTCAAGTACTGTGAAAGCAAGAAGTCACCTCAGGACAAGGGATAATGGACAGCCACATAAGCATGGATGAACTGGAAGGACACAGGTAATGGGCCTGCAGGAAACCAAGTCTTAGCTTCCCTTTTCACATGGCCAATTATTTCAAACAGAGGCTAAAATGAAGTTACCTACAATCGCTACATTTTAATATCATGTTCGCATTATCTTCTCAGATCTGAAAATCTACACAAATCATTAAGGATGAATCTTTAACTCCAATATTGCCATTGTGAAACAGAGGCCTTCAATCAGGTTAGAACACTGTGCCAACACTGGTATGGTCCAGAGATTTGTATTATTGTCCATTCCCTAAAATCTGTTTACCAATGTACAACCATTTCTTACTATAAAAAGCTTTTTCTTTAGCCTCATTGTAACTTTACAAAGATCTTCAGCCACCATTTCACATTTAGACATTCTGCTATCTAAATCCTTATACACTTTCACACATTCATAAACACACAAAGCTGTTTTGGAATAAGTTCCAGTTGTATTTTAGAAAAAATAATTCAAATTCCTGATAAAGCAGCATGAGACTCACCTACTATAAAACGATTATAACATGTTCCTACTGAACATTACTGATTTTGTCAAAGAAAACCAGTAGGTCATTGACAGAATAACATGTGTGAGCTAGTGTTCCACCTACCAATCATAGAAACCAATAAATAATTAATCTTCCCAGTTATGTGTCACTGCTGAAAACTAAATACCATTTAGCTTCCCAAATACAAGATTAATCTATGTCCAGCCACACCTCAGCTGCATTTTTAAAAAGAAAAGGAAATAAGAATAAATTTAGGATACTTGGAACATTAAAGCATTAAGTGCTTTCTTGGGTATTTGGTTTGGCTGGTTTTAATTTCATTCAAATCTCAAAGCAAGCACTACTAGAGGTACATTTTCAAAAATCTAGAGACTACAGTATAGTAACTGAATATGTGTAAGGTATTAAGGGCTCCTGGGTTTTCCCCACAAATTAAAAGGAACCTAGAACACACAAAGAAACGTCAGTTCAATGAGAAGTAAAATCAGACTGCAACTCAGAACACATGACTCTATTAAATAACACCATTATATGGAGCACCACCTTTTAAATCAGAAGCTTAAATCTACCAACAGGAGAAACTTTCTACGATCCAATTCATTATTACACTGCCACGCTGGAAAGAAAACTGAGACAACTTTCATGATATTCATCCAGTCCATATCCTAAACTTTGATTTGATACGAAGTGTATCAATGGTGAAATACACTCAACAGTCTCAATATGGAAACTATAGAAGAGGAGCACTCCAACTGAAAACCCCAAAACCAAAACACCCAGATGGATTACTTAAAGTAAAAAAAATTGGCAAATAAGAAATTCTCAGTTCATTCTTATTTTAGTACAGACAGGAATCCAGATTCACCTAGACTCCAGCTACAGCATTTGTACAACGCTCACTTTAAAACACCTGCTCTACAATGAGATCGTGTACTTTTAAGTCATGAAACTCCACATGCTGAAACTCTGAGAAGATGAATTTTGATTTCTGGAAATCCATGACCTGAACAGCAACTCCGAAGCCCACTACTAAGTCATCTGAAACTTCCAACACATTACAATTGAAGCTCACATTGTCAGCGTAAACCCAAGAGGGATGGAAAAAAAGAACAAGGAAATTGCAACGTACATACCTTTGTTTCTTCAGTACTTGGAAGTGGCAAGTTCAGAAATTTTTCTGTTAGTCTTTTCCAGCTTGCAGCTTTTCCAAGGTCAGAATGAATTACCAATTTTTCATGTATTCTAATAACACAAATAGTGTCAGAAGGCTTTTTAAAAAAATATATATATATAACCAATGTATTATTAATATATAGACATAAAACTTACCCTTCTATTGTTCTCTCTACTTTATGACTGTTCACATCAAGAAAACGGTGAAACCTGTAAAAGAAATATGTATTAGAATATGTTTAAAAGGAAGCTGAAGGAAGAAAATAAAGCTGATTTACTTATATGAAGACAATACTACTGGTTTAATAATGCACACTTAATTCAGCAACAGCATTAAGTAGCAATAAAATTCAATCTTGACATCTCTTAGCTCAAGAAGGTTTAAATATAATTGTCCTGAAAAGTAGAAAAAATTGAATGCAGGTTACATCTAACCAGCACTCTAAGCTGAATGGAAAATTACTACTGTACCAGCAAACTAAGCAATTAAAGTATGCTGTCTGCTACATCAAGTAGATCAAGGAGATCAAGAACTATGTTGTCAAAGGCATTGGTTTCAAAGTCACAAAATTATTTGGGAGCTGCATCACAGGCATAGGCAAAACAAACACCCACATGGGAAGGTCTCTAAACCCAAAAGAAGCTCCTTTTTTAACGGATAAGGGAGAGTAAGTGAAAAGAGAGCTTGATCAAAAATAAAAACAGATATACCAACAAAGGTGTATACATACGTATAGGGACAAAACAGGAACTCGTGAAAGGTAAAATGGACTTTGGAGACTAAATTAGGCTATGAATAGGCTCTTCAGATACAGAGATTAAAAGACAGGGATAAGATGTGACAACACTGAGCACAAGGTCAAGACACTCTATATGCCCTCAAAATAAAACCAATGTTTCCAGCAACAGGTGACAGAAAGTGATAATATTCTCATGACCACAGACAGAAATGAAAACTGCTGAATCCCAATTATGAGCAACAGTTAAGCTAAATAGACTGAAATTCAAAAGAAATATGAAATCACCTCAATGCAAAAGTAATGAACTAGAGAGTGAAACTCTAAGGCAGCTAGCAAGGATTTTTACTAAGTAGCACTGCAGGATGAAGATAGGCCCATGTTAAAGAAAAGAAAAAAATACTTTGTTAACTACAGATACGTTAGTCTGATTTCAACTGTGTATAAGGATTTGGAATAAGAGCATGATAGCTCTAAGTAGGTGGCATTTAGATTTAAGAAAATATATAATTTATTACAGCACATTAGGTTACATAGGAAATCATTAATTCAAAATTGTGGTAAGTATAAGAACTGGAAGATTTAGAATAACACACTAAAAAGACAATAAAAAATTAAATTAAGATTCTGTCCTGAAAAGAAAAATCAAGCTGCAGGGAAATTTTTAGTGAAAATTCTTTAGTCTCTTACTCAAAGCTTTAATTAATGACTAACATACATGAAAAAAAAAATCCTTTTTTTAGGCAAGTTGGGAACATCATGAATAGAAGAAGATTAGAGTGCTGCATGGAAATAAATAGGTGGATCAAAGAACTACAGCACAGAAACATCACCAAATCTAACAATACAAATCACAAGTTTCACAAATTCGAAACAAAGGAGAGTTTCTGCTATAACCTAAGGTCTCACTGTTCGTAAATGTAATATTAAATAACTTCAGGCTGATGTTCCATGCACATTCTTGGACAACGATTCTGTCATTAAAAAAACCTTCCTCTTCCCTACCCTCCCTGTTAAAAGTTTCTTGTTCACTTTGCATCACCCCCTCTGTTTTCTTGAGACGTAAAAAACGAAAATTAAACCCTATCAATTCCCCAATCTAAAAGAACACACAGCTACACAAGCATATAGCTGACCTAAACTGAGGGTGCGATTTACATGCTAAAATAATTTTGTTTGAGCCTATTAGTAGTTAGGATTAACAGATGCAATGCAGTTATGCTACTGCTCCTCCAAAAACGCATTTATTCAGTATGAAAAATGTAAAGTAGCATTGATTTTGCACGGATTAACTACTAGCTGCATACGATTTCAAAGAGGCAGCAGTTAGTGATAGTACGGGTAATTGGAAATACTTTCAGAGCTTTCACAGAACATTCTGAGCTGGAAGGGACCCACAAGGATCGTCGAGTCCAACTCAAGGGGGCTGAATACACTGGAACAATAACCGTGATAATGAAAACTGTGTGAAACTTGAGTAAGGGCATCTAGGCGGCAGTCTAAAGGGCTACTATGTATTGCAAATTAATGAAGACCACGCTTCTGACAAGCCCAAATAACACCAAACACGCTCTCTTCCAGCAGACCGATAAGCCTTCCACACAAGCAGCACAGCCTTCTTAGCCAGAAGGTTCATCTCAATTTGGCAGACTCCTCCTCACTTGCTCTTTATACGCAACCATAATGAATCTCCCTGCAACGAAGTTTTGGGCGGCTAAATGAACACGCTGAAAGGCACCTTCTAGCAGAGGAGAAAATCCCTAAAAGACCCAGATCCAAACGCGTCGGAATAGCAGACATTGATCCTGCGGCAGAGACTCGCACACGGCGCTCCCCCAGTCAGGGCGCACGGCGGGCCCGGCCCCGTCCCACACCCCGCGGCAGGCACCGGGACCCGCCCTGCTCCCGCTGACCTGAAGTTGGACCAGGCGAAGCTGAGCGCCGCCTGGAAGCGCTCCCCGCCCAGCTCCTCCTCGGGCAGGCTGGTCACGCAGCGCACCAGCGCGCGGACGGCGCGCTCCTGCTCCTGCTCGAAGCGGCCGCGGGGCCCGGGCGAGGCCGGCGGCGCCGCCATGGCCCGGCGGCGGGGCGGGGGTGACACAGGGGGACACAGGGGACTCCAGGGGACACAGGGGGACACAGGGGGACACAGAGCCGCCGCCACCGCCTCCCGCCCCCTCCTCTCGCGAGGCTTCCCTGCGCCGCGCATGCGCGTGGCGGAGGGGCGGGCGCTCGGCGCCTCCCGTGGCGCGGCCAGCCGGGGGCGTGAGGCGGGAAGGGAGAGTTCAGTACCGCCGGTGTAGCCCGACTGCTGCGGCTTCCCCCTGTCACGAAAATGACTCCTGACTTCCTAAACATCCCCGTAAGCATCCGGGATCAGTAAGTGGCAATTGCTGATTGATTACAGAATCTCTTCGGTTGGAGGAGCCTTCTGAGACCACCGAGCCCAAACACCACCCTGTCCACAGACCATGTCCGTGTCCAGCCCTTCCTTAAACGCTTCCAGGACGGTGACTCCACCACCTCCCTGGGCTGCCCATTTCAATATCTAATCGCCCTTTCTGTGAAGAAATTCCTCCTAATGTCCAACCTGAACTTCCCCTGGTGCACATTAAAGCTATACTGTTTGTAGGATGATTACTCAACCAAATAAGGGCCCGTGTGTCCTCCCTGACTGAATCCCTTCTTTTGCACAGCTGGAGAAACCACTGTTGGTGGGTGCTCTATAAACAGATCCTGAGCAGGACATCAGGAGTGCAGTGGGAAACCAATTAGTCCCAGTTCCATGTCAAACCTTCGCTGAGGAGCATAAAATGCTTTTGTCTGTTGACATGGTTTTGTAGGACTGCAAGGTCAACAGCCTATGAAATTCCTTCTGGAAATAAACTAGCCAAATCAATGGGAAATTGTATTATTGTTCAATTCCTGTGAAGGAATTGCTGCAATTGTTTTATCCTTCACTGTTGGGCCTTGTCCCTCTTGATCGAATCAACAATTACTGGGTTGTAATCCACCTCGCCAAAATTTTTTATTTCTCTTCTCCATTAAGAAATACACTGGCACAGTGAAAGGAGTAGTCAGTAGTGGATCAGGAGAAGTGGTAGGAAGAAGACCGCAGAAATGCCCTAATAAAGTTAAGATATATTTAATGTACCAACATAATGTGAAGAATTACGTAAAAATGTAGCGGTTAAGATAAAATAACTTTGAAATTCTTATAAGTTAGGGCATAGTAAGAAACACTAGCACATTTTTATCTGTGTAGGCTACAACCTACCTTAGGGTTGAGATGCAGAACTGCAAGGAAGTGGTGACCTGAGTGTAGAGTGTTCAGCATGAACATGAGATCAGAGGGTCCCTGCTCCAGAGCCTTTCTTATAAAGCCTTAGCTTAATGCACATTCAAAGGAAAAGTCTCTAAAACTTTACTGGTGTTCCTCAATCTCCTCTTGATGTTGCCTGTGTTTTCCACATTAGATTAGCAGCAGTCTTTTCTTTTTACTCCTTAGTTGATGTAGCCAACCATCAGCCATAATTTGTCCTGCTGTATTTTAACTGTCTGCACAGTCAGTAGACACTCCAGTGGTTAGTACAGTGTGAGAACCCCGGGATTGATTCAGGGGTCTCGTGTGGTGGTAAAGTCTCTCCTCCAACCCGTGCTTCCAAAGAAAGACTCTGCAGCCTCTTGTGGTTTGGTCTCAAGGCAGTTTATTGCTAGCTATCTAAAAGATTGTCTTCGCCCGCTGCGGCTGCCTAGGTCAGCGGCCCAGGCAGAGGCACACACTCTCCTGACACCCTCACTGTCCGGTGTCTCCGTCGTCTCTCTCCCCGCCCAAGGCTGCTACTATCTTTTATATGATATATTACGTATTATATGTTTACAGATTTTCCCCAATACCTACTATCTATGTTACAATGTGCTCTTCTACTCTAAACCAATCTGTGAGTGCCAACATCACCAAGAACATGGAGGTAAGGAAGAAGAAGGAGGAAGAACAGGATCAGGCTCACTTTCCTCCATCTTAGAACTCCTGACCCCCATGTACAAAGTAAAACCCCCCTGTACAGGTACTAAAACCCTCCTGTACAATACTAAAAAAATTTTCCCTCTAATTTGTGACTACTTTTACTATACCATCTAACTTTCTGTGACTGCTTGTTCCACCTTCAAAGTTGGTAATTCATTCCATGGTTCAAACTCAAGATCACAGCTGTTTTCAGCTGCTTGCCAGGGTCTAAAATGCTTTTGACCAAGGCCTGGAACCTCTGAAAATGTCTGAGGGACATTTTGAGTTCCGACAGTACAGTAGTAATTAATAATTGGAATACTGTGACTGGCTTTTAAACAAAAATTTTATATGCTAAGACTTCAGATGTTCTTTATACAACATAATTGTGGTTATCACTTAACCCCTAGGTATTTAAGCATACCTGTGCTACCCCTGCAATCACTGCTCAGACAGAAAGTTCCAGGCTTTGCAGCACAAGAGCATGTGTGTGTCACTTGTGTCCTTTGTGGTGAGAGGAGTGTGGCAGCCACCTATTTCAGCATGCCATCACAAAAGAAATAGTGATATTTTTGCAGTGAGAAGGATTCCAGATCTTAGCAGCTGCCCTGTCACAAGCTGAGTATCCTCAAACATGGACTTTAATGACAGTGGTGTCTGAAAGGTTTCCTGCTTCCCAACTGTCTTGTACAAGTCCATTTTCCTTCACACCACACCCTCAGCTGTGCTGTCTGTTGAGCAGCATGGTGAAACAAAACAGGGAATAAGTTTAAAATAGTCTTGTTTCTGCTTGGCTAGGGGTTTTAACTCTGATCAATTCACTGATCTATTCTTTTGGAGGTGTCAGGAAGAGGGAAGAACTACAATCCCAGGCAGTGAAAAGCCTCCAGGCAATGAAAGTATGTACACCCTTTGTGACTGGTGAATCAGAAATCTGTTGCTGGTTTTCAAAACAGGATACCAGGGCTGGGGCAAATGTATAACATCTGTGCTGCCTCAGTCATGAAAGGCTTTAATGCTACAAATATTTTCCTTTTTTCCCTCATCACAAGCCTCATTTCTATTTTTGTTTTGCCAGTTTAGAGTAGCAAGGCTTGGTATTTGATTTCAGCTGGGTGAGGGAGCACTGGGCAGGGAGAAGACATGAAGACGTGCTCTAGAAGCAAATTTAAACCGGGTTTTTAAGTAAGGTTTAAATCTAGGAAGCTTAATAGTTTACTTTGTTATTCCTTTATTTTCATGTGGCAACTGTCTCTTCTCACCCAACTATCCTTCCACGTCACACTGCTGGGAATTAGAAGTATTTAAAGTAAAATCTTCCTTTCTCATGGGATTAGATTATATTTGGGAGATGTGTCCCTTTTTGTCATGTCATATTACAATGTCACCTGTGTCTAGTCACATGTTGGAGGAGGAATTACAATGCAAACCATTCGGTGAATTGTGTGTCCTTTAGAGAAACTGCTCAGAGCAGACAACCTCTCCTCTGTTTTTCAATCCTAACTAATGAGCCAATTTGCTAAGCAGCATTCTAAGGCAGGTGAAGGAATGCAGGAGGTGAAACACATCAGGCTGCAAGGGATTGTTCAACAAGCCAACTACAGGAGTCCATGCTTCATGCTTCACTGTTAACACCTCTGTTACCAACAAAGCTTTGGGTGAATTCCACAGAACAGATGGACAGTATATTTAAAACACTGCATTTGAAGAAGTACTTAAGATTTTAAGGTTTGGGGGCGTAGTGAATCTATAGAAATAGTCATTTAATAATTAGCTGGGGGAGGGTTACAGAACACGTTGTGGCTTCACTTTAACACCATCTTTAGGATATATGAGACTGATGTGCTGAGCTATGTTTCTATGGTCATGCAAAAGTCAGTTGAGATGACTGAATATTAGAGGAGGCTATAGCTCATCGTTTACACGAGAACGCATACAAAATTGCCTGTGAAAAGCAATTGATCTTTATCTGTAACAGGAAGGAGGACATCTGATAACTTTCTACCGCAGTGTCTTTGAAGTGCACTCAAAGACTTAAACTCAATTCTTCATCTGATGGAGTTTTGCAACTGAATTTAAAATTTAAAATTTAAAACTGAATTTTAATTTAGGACAGATTTTAAAAAATGCTGAGGCTGATGTTAAGTCTGTATTTTATAATGGTTTACACTTCTTGTTAATTGGATGTATGTTTAAATAGACATTTCAGGGCCTTAGTTTAGAGTATCATTAATTGTAAATCCAAAACATTTTTGTGCAAGACTGATAAAGATTTGGCATAAGGTTCAGCTAAGGTTTATGTGATCCATCCCATCAGGGCAGTAGGTGTAGCTGTAATACCTTGTGTTTGCTCTCATGGAAGACCCAGTCACAGGACATAGAAATCCTGTTGTATCCCAGCTATCACTATCTCCCCCTGAACAGCAAATTGTTAGAGTATTGAAATATCTGCCAGAGTTCAAGAAGCATTTGGACAATGCCCTCAGATACATGATGTGCTTCCTGGGGCTGTCATATGCTGGACAGTAGGATTTTGATGATTCTTATGGTGCCTTCCAACTCAAGATATTCTATGATCTCTACTGTTACTGAATAGTTACACTTCAACTGTCAGCTTAGTGAAACTGGATCTTCACTTCTTTGCTAAAATGATGATGCTTTACTCTGATTTTTTAATTTGATAATAGTACATTTTCCCTCACTAATATTGTTGAAAAACATATTGCAAAAATAAAAATGGAGTTGCCCTGGTCACAGGTTTTCTTACCTGTTTGTAAATTAGGTTGGGGAACCATTCTTTTAATCCTTTGTGGAAAGAAAGCTTGACCTCCACAAATGGTAGCAAGTGTTTCAGTTTGTGAAGCTTGTCACAGCCATACTGATTCTGATTTCTCCATCTTCCCCACCCATTTAACTCCCCTAGACAGTTTTACCATACAATGCTTTATTCTTTTCCAAAACCAGAAAAAGAGTAGATGCTTTCATCTTTCATTGTCCCCTTTCTAACTAAAAATATATTGCTCTTCTAGAACTGTCTTGATTTTTTCCTTTCATTATTAATGGCACTGCCTTAAGTTTCCACCCATGACAGATAATTCTGGAAGTGTGTTGTTATTCTAGTTCTATTTGCGGAAATGTTATGACTTGTGTAGTGGTATGGTTGCTTGGTTTTGTCAGCTGCACTGATATGCAGACATAGATAAAACAGTGAATGGGTGACATTCCAGAAAAAATTAAGTACAAGAAATTAATTTAGCTTGTCCTTGAGCTGCAAATTTCTAATGAACATAGAGCAAGTGATGTAATTTCTATATAATAGGCTAACTTGTTGGAAACCTGGTAATTTAATATGACTTTAATAGAAGTGCCCAGTGACAAAACCCAAGGGAATGGCCTGAAATTGTGTTAAGGGAGCTTTAGGCTGGATATTAGAAAAAGTTTCTTCACCTGGAGGGTGGTTGAGCACTGGGACAAGTCCCCAGGGCAGTGGTCACAGCACCAGCCTGATAGAGTCCAAATAAGTGTTTGGACAACACTCTCAGGCATATGGTTTGACTGTTAGGGATGGTTCTTTGCAGGGCCAGGAGTTGGACTTGATGGTCCTTGTGGGTCCCGTCCATCTCAGTATATTCTGTGATTCTATGAAAACAAGTTGAAATAATTGGAAGAATCCTTCATTTTTCATTTGAGATAATTGCAAGAAAATTGCAAATTCCTTTACCTGTGCTGGCAGCAGAGATTAAGGCAGCTTTCTACCCCTGGTAAATATCTCTGCCTAAAAGGAAGAAAAATGACAGACGCTCAGATGTTTCTCAGGAATTACTAAGGGCATTTAAGAACTGATCTAGTGACATTTGGAAGGATGAGAGATAGCCCAGTTGATGAAAGAGGTAGACAGACCTCAGAACAGTCTAAACAGACTGTTTAGACATACAACTCTGAGAAGAGATATTTGTGGGATGCCTGATGAGAAGGAGCTTGGTGACAAAAATTGTCAATTTTTCTGATTCTCTATGTTCAAGAAAGCAGAATTCTGTGCTTTCTTTTTGATACAAAGAACAGTGCTGAAGACTAAGATCCTTCCTGAGTTTGCCTTTTAAAATCAAACAATCTGCACCAAATCCCATACTCATATATCACCCAAACCTTTTGCCAGAGTGGGGAAGAAATTGATGCCTGCATGCAGTTTAGTCACACAGCTTGTGCAGGTAGCACATCACTACAGAAAAAACAGTATTTGCATTAGATCATGACTGCAGTTTTACAGACTAGCATTTGCTTTATGCCTTACAGTACAGCTGGCTTATGCCTTTTGCTGAATTTAGCAAATACATCCCTGTGGAGATGCTAAATTAGGATAAACTCTATAAATTATGAAGGTTTTACTAGCCCATTTTTCTAGATTATCAGGGAAGCAGGAATATTCATCTATGTCATGGTTTAATTCTACCCAGTAGCTAAACCCCACTTAGCTGCTTGCTCACTTTCCCCTGGTGGGATGAAGGAGAGAATTGGAAGTGTAAAAGTGAGAAAACGTGTGGGTTGGGATGAACAGAGCTTATTAGGGAAAGTAAAAGACACACACACAAGCAAAGTAATACAAAGAATTAATTCACTGCTTCCCATCATCAGGTGTTTGGCCATCTCCAGGAAAGTTGGGCCTCCTTTTGCACCCTCGTACTCCTCACTGATGGGGTGGGAGGAGAGGCAGAAAAGGCCTTGGCTCTAGGTAAACGTTTTGCAGAGATAAGGAAAACATCCCTTGTAATCAGCACTGTTTCCTGTACAATTCCAAAACACAGCCCTAAAATGGCTGCTCTGAAGCAAATTAACTCTGTCCCTGCTAAACCCAGCACAGTCCAGCTGGTCTATGACTGAGTATAAAGTATATAAAGTATAACGTTTGGAGAGCAGCAGGGGAGGAATGTTTATCCAGTTACTTAAACATTTTCCCATGAGAGTTATGAGGCTAGAGTTATGAGACCAGAATTTGCCCACCATGACCTCTTACAGCATTCCCAAAAAAGACACAATCAATGAGGGAGGATTTGGGAAATGAAAATAAGGTTTTTTTAGCATATCATTCCCAAGAGATAAACCCCAGGTAGCTCTGTGGCTAGAGAGGATTATATTTGCATCTGTACCCAGCCACCCCTATGCTCAGAGGATGTCCCACTGCATAAAACAAGTCTCACTGAGGAAAAAAAACTATTGGGAGCCAAGCTGGCCTCAGCAAGAGGTCACCTTAATCTGGACAATGCAATGGCCTCTTGCAAAATACAGCAGAAAACAAGGCCCTAAAAAGTCTTATAGATCACATCAATAATGAAAATTGAATTGAACAATGTGAAATTAACGAGAGAAACTGTCAAAATTTCAGGTAAAATAGAGAAATGTTAATGCCCTTAAAATTACTCTTAGCAGGTGGCCCAGTTTGATCAAATGATACATCAAAAATCACTGTCATCAACTTCCAAAATGTTTGTGACAGAAATCTGGCAGGGCTGTCTCAGTGCTGTTGGAAACAGAAGAATTGATACAGGGAAAACCACTCAGTGTAAGAACTACTAGGGTTTATTTCTGCACCAGAAAAACAAAAAGCAAGCATACAGTAATGAAAACCTATTTTAAAAATAGTAAAGGTGTAGGTTCTTGTCATAGCTTGCTACAGCATGTGTTCCTTGAGGTCTTAAGGGATGACATATAGTGCCTAGGTAGCAATTCTAATGCAAAATAACAATGATAGGCACGTTTCGACTGGTTCTGAGTCTAGTCAAAATGGTGAATGATTAAGTCAGATGCTGATGTGTGAATACATTGTTGGTTCTCTGAGCTCTACTTACAGATACATAAAGTGCCTTGAAACACTCCAGAGTGTGCTGCAAAAAGACACTTGAGGAAAATCTAACTATAACTGGCAAATGTATATGCCCCATTGGTTGCCAAACATAGTCATAACACTGGCTTGTCAATGGAAACTCACTGAAATAGAGAGGGCCAATAGACACCTCTTTAGTAGCCCACCAGTAAAAGAAAGAAACACTCAATATTTCAGCATAAAAGACAGAAACACTCAATGTTTCAGCATCTGAAGAGCTGCTTCAGTTTCATAACAGCAGCTGTGAAAATGAAAATATGTGAAAGCATGAGAGAACTACTGATAAAGCTGGGAAAATAACAGCAAGAACAAAACAGCTTAGCAGGAAGCAGCAGAAGAAAGAAGACTGAAGCAAGCTTCATAAAAGCAAAACAAGTGAAGATAAGCAGTTTCTAAAAATTGTCTTGAGCTCTGTACAGAGCCGCTAAGCAGGCCACCAGGAGTGGCTGCAAGGTCCATGGTCTGCTTGCCACTTTCTCCTGGTCTGACACAGAGGAGTTCTGCAGGTGCGAGGATATACATGTTGGTACCAGACGGGAATGTAGCTACACTGTTCTGGGAATCAAAGTCCAGAGACAGCACAGACACTTTCCCGTGACTCTGAACCCAAGTGAATGACAGGAAACCATCAGGTTCAAATAGGTTCCTACACATAACTCACCCAGATGTGTCTAGACTGCAGTCCAGCTGCACTGAAGAGCACAGTGCTGTGAAATACAACACTGAAGTGTTTCTTCATAGAGACAGCATGCATGATTCCATGATCCCTTCCACTTATGGTCTGCCTCCATAAGGACTAAGATAGTGAGCTCTGTGGGGCAGTTTAGGTGCTTGTAGGCCGTACTAGCTTGGGCACAGGCCATACTCACAGGGCATGGCACCTGCCAGTGCTAACTCTTCACCTTAACTGCCGTATTGTTTCTGTCCTGCTAGCCATGAAGAGGGTGACTGTAGTGAACAGATGGATTCCTTTGGATTATCTTAATTATTATGAATGCCCTGATTTGTTGAAAATATTACTCAATGCAAAAAAAAAAAAATGTACTTCAAGAAAAGAAATCAAAATATATTGCTAGATGCATTCCAAAACACCTGATTGCACAGTATTACAGGAACAGCAAGAAAAAAATAGTTTCACTTCTCTGTATAGGCAATGAGCAATGAATGTCTAAGCAACAAATCACCGTCATAAATTAAGAATGTCTCTCTCAGAAATATATGCTTTCAGTGCAGATTCATACTTTTTTAGTGAGGGGACATAGAAAACCACTAGGGTATCTATTAAGAAAGACTCATTTATTCCAAAGTAAATGATCCTAGGAAATTCTCAGAGAAGAGTCTTCTTACAATATTAAGAATTCTAACTAGGACAAGCCCACATCAGCATCAAGCACAGCAAGACAATTGAAAGACAGATTTAGGACATCATCAATATGACTTCATAACAAGTGATAATATGGATGCCATCTGGAAAACACAGAAAGGGAGTTGGAAATGGATGAGCTTCTGTCAAGTTATTTTCTATTTTTTCAGCTATTTTTTGTGCAAGTTCCTAGCTGCGATTATTTTTATATAATAAAAATCCTCATAGTTTTAGCATGCTTATGGGTGGAGCAGTTCTGAGAGTTAAAGGCTTTGGGGGAGCAAATGCTTAGCTCTGCAAGGTTTCAGAGAAAGGTTTTAATCTGTCTGAAATTGCCATTATTTGCTGTGATGTGTCCTAACAATTTTGAAATACATTTTTCACTGCCACAAGCAGCAGAAAAGCTGTAAAAGGATTGCAGTTTCCAGAGTATATTGTAGGTTGTTCTTAAGATCAGGCGTACTTTAGTAACTGTGACTCCTGTAGGTCCCACAAGGACTTAACTTGTCTGAAGACAAGCCATTCCTGCCCTGCCTGGTTGTGTATGCATGAATTCCCTTCTGAGGCTGGCACACCTGGGTAATTTAATTGGACTTAGTTCTTTATAATACTAAGATGGAACACTAATCCTTTAAAGGAAGAGCACCTCATTTGATCACTTTCAAATTCACAAGCCCCTTCGAACTTGTCATCTTCCTGTTAGCAAAAAAGGGACCCTGCAAGCTGTAGTGGTAATAATCCCCAACTTAGGGTAATTACTCACTGTCTAAAGCTAGTTACAAGCTATATTTCTTGTTCTCATTGAAACCACCATGAAATAAGTAGCCGTTGAGGCCTGCAATATAGAAAATTTATGTGCTTCAATTCTCATAAATTCAGGTCCTGTTTAGCCTCTTTGTCAAAAGGGAGGCGTTTGCACAAGGTAATTGACCCATCTATTGGTAAGATGATACTAACAGAGGGCAGGCCAGGTGGCCAGCCTGGACTCTCCAAAGCACAGTGGCAGATCACAAGCTAATGCTATCTGAGACAGTGTTTCACAAATTGGGCAGTCATAAATTAGGACTGTGTTTAGAACTGAAGTGTCATGACCGTGGGATACAGGATGTCTCCAGAAGAGTGTTTATATTCAGCTGAATCACCAGTGCGCCAAAGAAATTAATTGGAAAAGCTTTCCTGTAAACAGCAGGTTGTAGCTCAGGGGATAATACCAGAGCACACAGCTTGTCAAAGGAATCAGTTCCTGACTCCAGCCAGCTGCAGACATGTCCTGGCAGCTCCTGGCTGAAGAAACAAGGAGAGGACCTTGGGAATCTTCTTAAGACACAGATAGCCAGTAAAGTTTGTGGTTAATCTCTTTCTTTTGTTTGTTTTCTGTATCTACTTTCTAGTTTGTTAATTTATTTTGCTTTTCATCCGGTCATCTAGCAGCTGTCACCTGCCTTGGTAAGTACTTTCAGCAGAAGCTGGCAATAATTCAGGTGGCTTGACTTCAAAGGAGAGCAATATAACAAATATCCACTACATTGCACCT